TCCATTTGATCCTGCCTTGGGCCAGGGAGATAAAACAGGTGGCTTTTTAGGATTTCTTCTAGAGTCAAGGTTCTCTGTTTACTGCTCTGTTATTAGGTATGACTATCAAGGGCTAAGGTGTCATTGACCATGAAAAGAATTTTATTCTTGGGGCGCCTGGGTGGCTCAGTTGTTAAGCGTCTGCCTTCGGCTCAGGTCATGATCCTGGGGTCCTGGGATCGAGCCCCGCATCGGGCTCCCTGCTCTGAGCGAAGCCTGTTTCTCCCTCTCCCAGTCCCCCTACTTGTGTTCCCTCTTTCGCTCTCTCTCTGTCAAATGAATAAATAAAATTTTATTCTTAGTCTATCATTTCTAACTCAAAGTTTCCATTTATAATTGTACCACATTTTTTCCCTTCATATATACCTGATGTAAACACCAGCCTTTTCTTAAACTGTGCTTTGCTGAGAATTTTCTGAGAAATGACTTTATACAACTGCAAAATTTAAAATACCTGGGGTTGTTAAGACAGTGTGTGGGGAGGCCTATAGGTTCAATGTGAGGTCTGAGTAAGATAATATTTTAAAAGGAATGGGCAGATTTTTATCATGCATTATCAAATTAAAGCTAATAAGGTGTGATCAAGCTAAAGTTATAATCTGCCTGATTTCATAAATAACCACTGTATTCAGCACACAGTAGCTGTATGCAAACATAGTTTGAAAGAGTATGAAAAATCCATCATCTTTTAATCTTATTTGTCCTGTAGATTTCAAAGCCTGGTATATCATTTTTTCATAAATAGTTAGGAGGTAAACTGTTACTACAAACTCCTAATTACTGGGTTTCAAAAACATGGTTGACATATAGTAGGGGTTCAATAAATATTTAATGAATGAATGAAAGAATGAATTTATGTTTTACTGTATTGTGCTCATAGGAAAATGAGATCTGAAGTGGCCCAATTATACATAAGGAATTTTCTGTTGTAGCAATTTGTCTTTAAATGTTAATTAACACAAATATTTGTGAGTTATCTGACCAAACTTGAATTATGTATTATTAAGCAGGGCTAAACATTTCTAGTAACTATTTATTTTAGCTGCTAATGTAAACTGCCAAGTTGCTACAACAAATAGTAGTGAGAATATTAGAGCCAACTAAGGCCCCAAATCCCCAAGCTATTGTTTTGAAGGAATTGAACCTACCACAGTACTCGGACAGAGTATTTATTCATTGGCCATAGGGAAGGAAGGCCTCAAGTTTTTTTTTTTTAAGATTTTGTTTATTTATTTGAGAGAGACAGAGATGGTGACAGAGATAGTGAGAGAGAGCACAAGCGGGGAGGAGAGGGAGAAGCAGGCTCCCCCCTGAGTAGGGAGCCCAATGTGGGGTTGATCCCAGGACCCTGGGATCATGACCTGAGCCAAAGGCAGACGCTTAACCGACTGAGCCAGCCAGGCGCCCCAGAAGGCCTAAAGTTTTTAAACCTATAATTTAGATGCTCAAAAATAATAATTGTAATTGGGACAATTTTTTTTTTTTTCCAGTTTCAGGACTGTGTTCTAGTGCTTTTCTAACAGATGAAGGTGTGGAAGGGATAGCCATTTAATTGGAAGCCAGAGAAAGGAAATTTCAGAGATCTTTTTTAAGTAATATTCTTAAAAAGCTTCATAAGTTTCAAGCATTCTTGCTGCAGACAGACCTGTTTCCCCATTCCCCTAAAAAGTAGATAGATGAACCCCAACCTCTATATAAACTTGATTCTTAGTCTGTATTGAACCATAGCACTATGGTCTCCAATAGTTAGATGGACAAAATCAATATAGGCTAGTCATGCTGAAGAAGGTAGTCTCTCAGAGAAACTGATTCAGAAAGTTAAACTTGACATTACTTATTTGGATTAGTAATACTTGGACCCCATAATTAACGTTTTGAATATGTTTAAAGCATACAAGTTGGGCACTAGCTGGAATTTGGGCAGTAAGTTTTGCATAGTCTGGTATGGATCAGTTTCTAAAGAGATGGGTTATCTGGGCTTGGAGGACTTCTTCTTTGTTTGCTAATGCATTTTACTCAACCAAGAGGTTTAAGGAATTGACAAAGAGACAGCAATCTTGACCTTAAAAAGTCAGAAATATAGGACTTACAGGTAGATGGAATTTAACCAAGAAAGGCTTTAGCAACACCTGAGAACCTGTATCTATGGTAAAGCCATTGCCCATGTAAAATGTTAACTGACCTCCACACTAGTGTGTACATCTCTATTGAAAGGTATGTGATTTAGACCAATTTATGTTTCTTTAGTCAGTCACACTGGGGAAACAGTAACTTAGCAGACCCTTTAGAGATCACTTTATAGCAAAATTTAGTTAAAAAAATTTTAATTATTTACTGGTCCAGACTCTTCATTCCTATCTTCTCTTTTGACAATCCAATCTACACACTACTGCTAGATTAACTTTTCAAACGAACTCTAATTACATTATTCTACTCCAAAAATTTTAACATCTTCATTAGCTACCAAATTAAGTATAAATTATACCCTGGCATTCAGTGATTTCCACAAAAAGAGCCCCAACATACCTTTCCCAATTTATTTCCTAGTACTGCTCCTGCATATATAGCCACAAGCTCAATACTCCTGTAGGCCCAAATTATTAGGCAACAAATGGATTAGTACTGGTTGCTGCCCTTAGGTACAAAAGGAGAAGAAAATAGCCAGTTCCCTACTTCCACAGAGAGGCTGGGAAGTGAACACTATGGCAGTACCTTCTGAAACACAGATCTGATCTGTCATGCTCTTGCTTAAAACCATTACAGTCAGCTTTTTATAAATCTACAGTCCATGGGCCAGGATGTAGTTAGAATTAAAGGCTCCATGAACTTGGACTGGGAAAAAATTGCATCTTGATTTTTGATATCTAACTGAAATTTAGCATTTTCTTCAATAAGTATAGGCAATGATCCATAGTAGTATTAGCAGTCCCTATATCTTTGTCACCAATAGAAACATATTTTCATATCACACTGAAGTTGTACAGGTATCTCAAAATATAATTTCTACTCATCACTATTTTGAAATTATTTGCTGCCAGGTGTTATTTAATGCATAAAGAAGCACATACATAACTACATCAGACACCTGTTTTTTAATATTTTTAAAACTTTCAATAAAATCGATTTTGTTTCTATGTATTTTATTTTCACATTTAAAAACATTCTGAGATAGGGCCCACAGGACAGGCTGCCAAAGAAGTCCATGGTGTAAAAAAAGGTTATTTTATTTTTATCTTTGTTTTTTTATACCTATTAATTGCTTATAGTAGATAATCTAAACACTTTAGCATGGAATTCAAGGCTCCTCATAATCTGTTCACACCCACTTTATCATCTTTATCTCTGCCCCACCCCTACTCTCCATATTAAGCCGTCATACCAGACAACAGTAACTCACTCTTTTCTGGAGGCTGATAGACAAGTTTTTGGATTAGCCCTAGTTAATAGACAGTAGCCATGCACTGGCTTTGGCTTTGCCTTATAGAGACCTCTCTGCCTGCCAAGTGAATTGTTCTTTTAAAAGGTTTGTTTTCCCTAATAGTATGAGATCTTAATAGGGCCATATCTTAACTGTCTTTATATCTCTTTCCTAACTTAAATGATTGCTGAATAACAGAAGACAGATTCTAAATTGGCAAGGCACTGTATGCAGTAATCTCTAGGGGAGTAAAGTGAGTCCTTGAATCTCAAATGGACTTAGCTCTTTTTGGGGACAGAAATGAAGATGCCCTTGATTGAGCCCTAAGGTTGGATCCCCAGCTGATAGATGCTGGATGGTAGGGAAAGGGAAAGAGAGCCCTGAGATGGACTTAAGATTGAAGGATGGAACTGTGCTGAAGGGAAAGGCAGAAGAAATGACACCTTTCCCATTGCCCAGAGTAGTTATCCCAAACTTCCATCACTCTGCTCGAGCTTCTCATTCCATCCCCAAATCTCTCATCAAGTGACTTCCATCTTAATGTTACAGAGCCAACGCCATCAACTTCCTGCCCTTCCTTACTTCCGATCCTTTCCTTTCCTCAACCCTCACAGCACCTCAGGATCTTTAAAAAATACTGATGCCTGGGCCCTTAACCCCAGAGTTTGTTTAATTGGAACAACAGCATTGGTTTTATTAAAAAACAAAAAACAAAACAAAAAACAACTTCTCAGGTTAATCTAACGTGCACACAAGGTTGAGTTCCACTAGTGCTCTAGATGCTATAAATTAGCCACCTTCATCCATGAACTGCCCACTCCTGGGTTCCATGGCGAAGGCTCCCATCTTTAAAGAAAACATTCTTTCAGCCCACATTCTCGCCCATCTCTCTCACCCTCTACAACGATGCTTCTTTAAAAGGTAATCTACACCTATGGCCTCCACCAACTCTACTCCTCTAACTTTTTACTCTTACAGTCAATACTATCATATACTTTTGCACCCGTCATTCTCTATGCTTCTATCTCCTATTTCTCGACCAGCTACTGCTCACTAGCCTTTTAACACAAGTTAGGAGTGACTCAAAGGTCACCTTGGAAAGGGTTTCCCCCAGTCCTTCCACACAATCAGGGGCCCCTCTTCTGCTATGCTCAGAGGGTCCTGTGCTTTTTTTCTGTCATACTTTTACTTTATTACTACTGCGGATTCTCTCAACGTCTCCCACATAACACCGCACTTCAGAAAGCTGAAATTGTTTCATTTGCTTCTGACTTTCTAGAGTCTAAAGCACGAGAAAGCACTCTGTGAAAAAGTCTGAGGAATGAATGGAAAGTCAGACTAGGAAACGGAGGTCGGGGGCGGGGAAATGCGGCGGGAGAGGGCGTGTGTGTGGGAAGGGGCGGGGGCTAAGAGGGGCGGCGCTGAGAACCCTGCACCAGAACTGGGGAGGGGGCAAGGATATGCTGAGTCTGCGAGGGCTGAAAAGCGGCTCCCTGACGGAACAGACCGCCCGACCAACCGAAGTGGGGAGGCGGCTTCTTACCTGCCTCGGGCCTCACCACCCCAACCAGCCTTCAGGCACCTCTGTATTGGCCGGAAAGCGAGAGCTACAGTCGCAAACCCCGAGTTTTCTACCCCAAACTTGCGACATTCCTCTCCAGTGGAGTGAAAATCTGAGGCACGGTTCCGAGCTCTGCCGTAAGGTGAGGAAGAAAAGTTTGGGCGGGGCCGCCCGGGGCGGACGAATGGGGCGTGCCCGCGCAAGCGCCTGAGGTACTCTCTGGCGGCATCACGTGCGGGGGCCGGGCCCGCAGGCTGGCCGGCTCCCGCAGGCGGTAGGGGGCGTGGGAGGTAAGTGCGCGCGCGCCTGCTCGTCTGCAGCCGGGGAGTCGCGCGGGGCGGGGCCGCGTGCGCGAGGTCGGGGGCGCGGGGGCCTGAGCGGACGAGGGACGCGGCGGCGGTTGGCGGTGGCTGCTGAGAGTACCGCAAGGACTGTGAGAGGCGGCGGCTGAGGCACCCGCGGCCCCGGCAGAGACAGCGACAGCGGCTGAGGCGGCGGTCCGACGCGTGCTCTCTGGGCGGGGTGCGGCGGGGGATGTGCCTGCCCGGGCCGGGCGGAGTCTCTCTGACAGGGCGGGGGATGCGCGGCGGCCGCTCTCCCGGACCCTGAGACTGCTGGGCCCATCCTCCCGGAACCGTCCGACCCTCGGTGGCCTCAGCTTCTGCTGTCTCCGGCGGCCTGACCCTGGAGCCGCGGGTGGGAGGTGGCTTCTGGCGAAGAGGAGGGGGCTGTGGTGGCAACCGCGGCGGAGCCCGAGGTAAGACCCGCCCAAGCCGCCCCGCGGCCCTGCTGCCCGGCCCGGCCCACGTCTCAGTCTCGCTCTTTCGCTCCTGCGGGGCCCCTCCGCCCCGCCCCAGCGGAGACGCCCCGCGAGCGAGTCCGCCCGGGAGCCTCCCGGACACCCGATCACTGCGCGGGGTCCCTGGTAGACCCCACCCATCGTATCTTCCATTGGCCAGATACCATTCCGGCCCGCCAGACCCCCGGCGGTTCTGTCACGGGCCCCCACTCCAGCACAGCCCATTAGAAACCCCCTCGGACTCTCTTAGGACTCTTAATGGAGCCTCCAGACTCCGTTACGGCCTCCCGTAAGCTGACCTGATCACAGTTCCCCTGAGACCCAGTCACGGCCGCCCCCTAACCCATAGCGACCCCCAGCTCCACGGCAGATCCATCGCAGCCCACCCCCTCTCTGCTGACCCCTTCCCTCCCAGCTCGCTCCCGGTCAGCCCTACCCACCACCTTGGCTTTGGGGTAGTCTGATGATGCTTTCACCTCCCAGGAGATGTGGTCAGCACCTCTGTAGAGACCATCAGACAGCAGCCTCTCCCCCAGCCTTTCTCTCGGGCAGACCTTGTTATCTTTCTCTTTTCTTTGGTTGAAAGGGTTTGCTATTAGATCCTGAAGGGATGTTTGCTTAACTTAGTGCCGCCCCCCCCCCCCCGTGGGGCTTAAGGGGACCAACTGACACCGTGTTTGGAGGGTTTAATCTGGTGGCTGAGGAGGGAGGGACAGGGAGGAGTGTGGAAGCCCAGAGCAGAGGGTGTGTGTGCTAATAGAAGGTCACACAGCCTGCTTCTCATCTTGTCTCTTGTGACATGTAGGGACCTCTTAGGATTAAATCACATTACACTAAGGGATGTGACAGTGTCTCCATGTAATATCATTTGTTTCACCTTCCTGTAGATTTTTACGCATTTTTTTGTTTTTGAATGATACCGGGGGATTGTTTTTTTAATGTGTTGTTTTGAATTTGCTGGAAAAATACGTTTTGTAGCTTTCCTTAACCCCTGAAGATTTTAATGTCAATTTAATAATAAATTTCTGCTCCCTGATGCTGCTATCTTGCTTTTATAAGGAGCAAGTACAGTTATCATGCAGTGTTGACTGATGTCATTACCAACAGCCTTCTCAGCAGTAGTGATAGTAGTGAATAAAATTTTGTGGAAGTTGAACTTCAGAGTTGTCAAGAAAAAAATGCAATGTTACACTAAATGATCAGTACCTAGTTTTAACCTTGGTATAGGGATGTAGTGAGGTTTTTGTAGTTAGTACTTTTAAAATTTTTATTTTGTGTGTGTGAAGCTGAGGAGGGAGAACATATTAAAATTATAGGTAATAACTCGACATAGTATAAAAGTCAAGAGATTCAAAAGAGTATGCAGTAAAAAGTTTTTCTTCCCCCTATATCCTCCAACCACCCGTTTTCACTCTAGAGGCAACCTCTATTTCCATCTTTATGTGGGTCCTTCCTTGTGATATTTCTAGCATATTCAAACCTATACATTCTCAAATTTATATTCTTAAATATATTTATATTCTTAAAAATCACCGCAAATACTTTACACTCTATAGCTTCCTATACACTCTAGAGCTTTTCCCCCTCCTCTACCCCCTACTTAATAACAGATCCTAGAAATCATACAACAACAGTGCATATGGAAATGCCTCATTTATGGGCTGGACAGTATTGTTGTTATGATCTTGAGATTATTTTTAGTCTTTGCTTTTACAGACAATCCTACATGCTTTTCTTTGAAATGTATTAGCTGTTATATGTATGTCCTAAGTAATTATCAGGATTTCAAATTTCCTGGTGACTCTTTTGTATTGAATTTACAAAAAAGGATATAACTCAAGTTCTCATTGAACTCCTGAGCTTCCATGGAGTGACTGGCTTTGATGCTGATTATAATATTTATCAAATAAGTTATTGAAAGATATAAAGTAGGGTACTGAAATGATCAGATTGGCATTTTTAAAAGGTCACTGTGGCTGCAGTGAGTAGAATGGATTAAAGAGTAGTCTAAGACTAAAGGCAGGAATATCAGGCAAATGATGATACTGGGTCTGGATTTGGGTATTGAGAGTAGACAGGACTTGGTGATTTCATTGGATTTGGGATTAAAGAGAAGGTTCATAGAAAATTCAGGTTTCTAGCTTGTACCTTTTACTGAAGTGGGAATCGTTATGAGAGAGGAATGGGATTTTATTTTTATTTTTGTCAAGAAAGAAGAATTTAATTTGTGACAAGTTGGATTTGGGTCATTATACTTCTGTCAGATCTTGATGGCCAAGAGGCAGCTGGATTTGTGCCTTAAGTTCATTATCAACTTCTGGGATGGTAGTAATAGATTTTGGGGGCAAAATGTATAAATGAGAGGAGAAAAGATTTTAAGACAGAAATCCAACATTTACGGTGTAGGTAGAGTTGAATGTCTAAAGCTAGTAAATTAAGTGATTAAATTCTTTTTCTTTTTTTTAAAGATTTTATTTATTTATTTGACAGAGAGAGACACAGTGAGAGAGGCAACACAAGCAGGGGGAGTGGGAGAGGGAGAAGCAGGCTTCCCGCAGAGCAGGGAGCCCGATGCGATGTGGGGCTTGATCCCAGGATCCTGGGATCATGACCTGAGCCAAAGGCAGACGCTTAACGACTGAGCCACCTAGGCTCCCCTAAGTGATTAACTTTTTTTTTTTTTAGAAGATTTTATTTATTTATTTGAGAGAGAGAATGAGATAGAGAGAGAGCATGAGACGGGGGAGGGTCAGAGGGAGAAGCAGACTCCCTGCTGAGCAGGGAGCCCGATGCGGGACTCGATCCTGGGACTCCAGGATCATGACCTGAGCCGAAGGCAGTCGCTTAACGAACTGAGCCACCTAGGCGCTCAAGTGATTAAATTCTTTAAAAAATCTTATTGTAGTATCAATAGTGAGGTTCACTGTCTAACATGTGATTAAGTTTTTTTCCCGTAGTTAACATTAGTGATAGTTTATGAGGGAAATGGAATAAACTTAGATTTTTTTTTTTAAGTAAAACCTCAGTAGAAATTAGTACTGTAAGTCCATCTTTTCTAATCATTAGGATTTTGTTATTTTAGAAGTTGGTTCAGTCTTCGTTTGTGGAGAAGTGCAGGATGTTTGAAAATATGGTTGCCAAAAATATTAAGTTTCTTAGTTTGCATGATTTTTTAAATTATATTAACTTAGTTTTAAATATATATTAGTCAAACAATTGTGGGTCATGTTTAAAATCTAACGTCAACTTTATGTATTCCTAAGTCTAGAGCTGCTGTATAGATCTCTCTCAACTCTAGACCCCTGTGAATCACTGCTAATGGACGTCTGCACTTGGATTCACATTTCACAAACATTTCAGCCTTGTACAAAATAAAACTCTTTCTCTGCTTCTCTTCCTTCCAAAAAGGAGGGGGTAGAAGGAGGCAAACTGCAACAAATTTTGTTTTTGATTTCCTATCTTGATGAATTGCACCACTGTCCGCCCCAGAAGTCTTCAGGAACCTGTGAATCATCCTCCACTCTGTACCTTACTACCAATATCATTAAGTCCTGCACATTTTCCCTTATGCTATTTCAGATAATTTCTTAATGCTATTTTTGTTGTTTCTACTTTATTTTTTATCTTATTTTTTTTCTACTTTATTTTTTAAAAGATCTTATTTGAGAGAAAGCAAGTGAGAGAGAGAGAGAGCGCAAAAGAGGGGGGAGGGTCAGGAAGAGAAGCAGATACCCAGCTGAGTGGAGAGCGCTAAGTGGGGCTCTATCCCAGGACTTTGGGATCATGACCTGAGCTGAAGGCAGACACTTAACGGACTGAGCCACTCAGGTGCCCTGTTTCTACTTTATTTTAACCCCAGATGTCTGTTGTCCTTCTCTAATGCCTTTTTTTTTTTAAAGATTTTATTTATTTATTTGACGGGGGGAGAGAGACGGGGGGTGGGAACACAAGCAGCGGGGCAGGAGAGGGAGAAACAGACTTCCCGCTGAGCAGGGAGCCAGATGCGGGGCTCGATCCCAGGACCCCGGGATCATGACCTGAGCCGAAGGCAGACGCTTAATGACCGAGCCACCCAGGCCCCCCTCCTCTAATGCTTTCTAAGTGGTCTTGTTGCTCTCTCCTTTCTGCCTCTTGTTTTGCCCTACCCTCCAGTTCATTCTCTGCACTGCTGCCAGATTAGGTGTTCTAAAATGCTCTTTTTGTTAGGCTGTTTCATTTCCAGAAGAGACTC